CAGGTCCCAGCCGTCGGTTCAAGCGAGTGGTGGAGACCATCCAGGCACAGCTACTGAGCACTCATGACCAGCCCTCCGTGCAGGCCCTGGCAGGTGGGTGGTGGGGGCCGTGGGTGGCGGGGAGGTCCCACCTCCAGCGTGGGACCAGGTGTTCAGCGTGAGCAGGTGTTCTGGGGTTTGGTTCGCAGAGGAGGCCCAGCTGATGGGCTCCTTCACCATTGTGTTAGCTGAGGTCTCATCAGCAGAGTCATGAGCAGGTTCCCTGAGGAGGGTCTCCCTGGCAACCTGAGGACTGGCTTCCAGGGGTCCCTAAGAGGATGACAGGCTGTGTTGGGCATCATGGAACATTCTGCCAACAGAGGTTCTAGACCTCTGTCCAGGAGGAGGGCGACCTACTGTCCTGGGTTGTTTGGGACTGAAGGGTGTTTCTGGGGTGCAGGGCTTTCAGCCTAAACCCAGGACAAGTGGGCCACCCTTTTCACTGGTCTCAGACTTCACCTCACCCTGGGGCTAGGGCCTGATGGTCCATACCGATCAGAGTTCTGAGCTGAGTTCGTGGGAATGTGCGAGATCTTGCTGTGGGGAATCAGGCCTTCCCAGCCTCACCAGTCCTGGTCATCAAAAAGTCGAATTCTCGGCCGGGCGCAGTGGCTCGAGCCTGTCATCCCAGCACTTTGGGAGGCTGAGGCGGGTGGATCACGAGGTCAAGAGATCGAGACCATCCTGGTCAACATGGTGAAACCCCGTCTCTACTAAAAATACAAAAATTAGCTGGGCATGGTGGCACGTGCCTGTAATCCCAGCTACTTGGGAGGCTGAGGCAGGAGAATTGGCTGAACCAAGGAGGCGGAGGTTGCGGTGAGCCGAGATCGCGCCATTGCACTCCAGCCTGGGTAACAAGAGTGAAACCCCGACTCAAAAAAAAAGAGTCGAATTCTCTAGCCATCAGGGAACAGCAGAGGCCAGGCCACAGTGGGGTTTGCTGCAAAGATCCCTTGGTTCATTCAACCTGCTGTAAGAAAATACCACACACTGGGTAACTTACAACAGAAATTTATTGCTGACAATTCTGGAGGCCCACAAGTCCAGCCGCCGGCAGGTTTGCTGTCAGATGAGAGCTGCTTTCTGGGTCACACACAGCACGTTTGTGCTGTCTTCACACCGCAGAAGGGGCAAGGGAACTCTGGGGCATCTTTCCTAAGGACTCTCATCCCATTCCTGAAGGCCCCACCCTCATGACTGAATCCCCTCCCCAAGACCTGACTTCCTGACACCATCACCTCGGGGTTGGGTTTCAGCACATGAATTTGGGAGGTTGCAGCGTTCAGGCCACACTGTCAGGTGTGCCTTCCCACGCAACCAGAGGTAGCTAGAAGTCTGGAGGGAAGAGAGCGCCTGCCCTGGAAATCAGCCCTCCCCTAGGAACCAGGTCCCCGGGAGATGCAGTGAACCAGGGCACTGGACTCCACTGCAGGGCACGTGGACAGCCATCTGCTCTGGGGGAGTCAGGCAGCATCCTCACAGGACCCAGGCCCCTTCCCAGACCCCATGGCCCACCGCCGTTGAAAGGAAACAGGGCCCAGTGTTGAGGGCAGGAGCCGGGGCAGCCTTGGCCTTGTCACCAGAAACCCTGAGTCCCAGGGTCAGGTCTTTGCTCTGGAGCCGTGGTTCTCAACGAGGGGAGCTGTTTTCGCCCGTGTTAGTTTCCTGTGGCCGCCATCCACAAATGACACAGCCTTGGTGGCTGAAACAACACAAGTGACTTTCTTTTTTTTTTTTAGTCAGAATCTCGCACTGTCACCCAGGTTGCTGCAACCTCTGCCTCCTGGGTTCAAGCGATTCTCCTGCCTCAGCCTCTCGAGTAGCTGGGATTACAGGCGCCTGCCACCACGCTCAGCTAATTCATTATATTCTTAGTAGAGACAGGGCGTCTGGAACTCCTGACCTAGTGATCTGCCTGCCTCAGCCTCCCAAAGTGCTGGGATTGCAGGTGTGAGCAACCTCGCCCAGCTTTTTTTTTTTCAGATGAAGTCTTGCTCTGTCACTCAGGCCGGAGTGCAGTGGCATAATCTTGGTTCAAGATTCTCTTGATCACCTCCTGGGTTCAAGCAATTCTCCTGCCTCAGCCTCCCGAATAACTGGGATTACGGGCATCTGACACTACTTCCAGCTAATTTTTGTGTTTTGAGTAGAGACGGTGTTTCACTATGTTGGCCAGGCTGGTCTTGAACTCCTGACCTTGTGATCCTCCCTCCTTGGCCTCCCTAAGTGCTGAGATTACAGGTGTGACCCACCGTGCCCAACCACAAGTGACTGTTAAGCAGTCCTGGAGGTCAGAAGTCCCCCATGGTCTCCCTGGGCTAACATCGGGGTGCCTGGAGGGCTTCACTCCTGCCCGGAGGCTCTCAGGCAGTCTTTCCCTGCGTTTCCCGGTTCCTAGATGCTGCCGCACGCCTTTGCTTAGGGCCCTTCCTCCATCTCCAAAGCCAGTGACGCCATATGTCCCTCTGACCAACCTTAGCTGGGAAAAGGTGACTCAGTGGGACCCACGCAGATGCTCCAAGATAATCTCCCACCTCAAGATCTTTAACCTTCCCCACAGCACAGGGTGTCTTCTGCCCTGTCAGGGACGTCGTCACGAGTTCTCAGCATCTCATGTGGACATCCTTGGAGGGGCCGTCACTCAGCCTAGCACAGCCCCCTGGGAGATACTTAGCACTGTCTGGAGATTTTGCTTATCTCAACTGGGGAGAGCAGGGGCATGCCAGTGGCTTCTCGTGGGTGGAAGCCAGGAATGCTGCACCCATCCCACAATTCACACAACAGCCCCCATGACAGCTGGGTCCCGAAGGGCAGTCATGAGGTGGAGAAACAAGGTTTTCTGGTTGCTAGGGGCAACCGGAAAGCAAATTAGGTCTCCTGGACCCCGTTGCCAAGGAAAGCTGGACTTAACAACCAGCGGTCCCAAAAGGGGCACACTCTCAAAGATGAGGGCTAACAGGCATCCCGGGGGAATCAGCCACCTATCTCATAAAGGAGAACAGAGTGGGGGGCCAGGCGTCCAAGTCATATTGGTTGCTATGACAACAAGCCCCCCAGTTTCTTTTTTTTTTGGGATGGAGTCTCCCTATATCACCCAGGCTGGAGTGCAATAGCACAATGTCAGCTCACTGCAACCTCTACCTCCCAGGTTCAAGCGATTCTCCAGCCTCAGCCTCCCGAGTAGCTGGGATTACAGGCACCCACCATCATGCCCGGCTAATTTTTGTATTTTTAGTAGAGACAGGATTTCACCATGTTGGCCAGCCTGGTCTTGAACTCCTGACCTCAAGTGATGCGCCTACCTCAGCCTCCCAAAGTGCTGGGATTACAGGCATGAGACACTGCGGCCAGTCCCCTCAGTTTCTCTTAAGAGAGAAATGAGGTCTCTGCCAGGGAACCTCAGGTCATCCTAGGCCCCATGGAACTTGCTTCAGACCACCCGGCAACCAGTGTTTCCACCGCAGTCCCCCGGGAGGAGGTGGCCTCAGGCCCCACCGAAGGGTGACCTGCGTCAGGCTGCCCCAGCGTGAGGGGCCTGAGGCGCCCCCACCAGTAGGCTCCCTTGAGCCCCGTTCCATAGAAATTTCTCCCTAACATCCAGACTAGGAAGGAGTCGGGGGCCTCTGGCTGTTTCTTAGCAAATAGTATCACAGCCAGAATCTGAGGCTCTCCTGAAATTGGGCCTGGCCCAGGTCTCCTGTGGACGAACCTGGCCCCTTTTCCAAAGCCACAAGAGTTACAGGGGCCTAGGGTGCAGCCCCCATCCTAGGGAAGCCAGGCCCGGTCACTGCGGGTGTGTAACCAAGTCTGCAGGCTTCCAGCAGGTGGTGGAGGGATCAGGCCTTATCGGAGATCCGGCTGGAGCCTCGGGGCAACTGAGACCTACCGATAAGAGACCCTGCTCCCATCCCTGGTAAGGGGAACCTCAGCCCTGGGCTGTGGAAACCAGGAAAAACCTCTTCCTCCCTCGCAGATGAGAAGAATGGGGCCCAGACCCGGCCTGCCAGCGCCCCACCCCGAAGCCTGCAGCCCCCGCCTGGCCGCCCAGACCCAGAGCTGAGCAGCTCTCCCCGCCGAGGCCCCCCGAAGGACAAGAAGCTCCTGGCCACCAACGGGACCCCTCTGCCCTGACCCCAGGGGGCCAGGGAGGGAGGGGACCCCCCACCCCCTTCCCTGCCCCCCAACTGTGAATCTGTAAATAAGGCCCAAGGAACATGTCGGGAGGGGGGTGGACACAAAACCCGGCCTTGCCCTGCAGGGATGGGGCTCCGTGGGCCGTGCCCAAATGGGGGTGGTTCTAGGGGAATGGGGGCGGGGGAGCTGTTTCTATTTTATTTATTAATTTATTATTTTATTTATTGATCAATCTCTCTGTGGGGTGGGGTGGGGGAGGGGAGGGACGGGAGCTGGTTGGGGTGGCTTAGCAGATCCGGACAGGGCCCTCTGTCCCTGTGTCGTCCCCAACCCCCTCTCCCTGGGCCCCTCCTCCCCTGGTCCTCTCCCAACGACCTTCTGTACGGATTTGCTCTCCGGAAGGAATTCTGGTTTCGCGTGATCCTGCCTGCGTCTGTGTCTCTGATTCCGCCGGCGGCAAAAAAAAAAAAAAAAAAAGATAATAATAAATAGCCTTGATCAGGGACAGCTGGCTGGCCTTGGCCTCTCGCTTCCTGGGTGCCCAACTGCAGGGGCAGGGCCCGAAGGCGGGGACAGGGATGCTGGGTGCGGCCAGCTGTTTAGAGGTCATCCGTGCTGGCATGCACGTCCTCCAGCACCGGGTCAGTCAGCGGCAGCCCCAGCTGGTTGGAGAGATCCCCTGTGGCTCATCTTCCGGGGTGCAGGGTGCTGGGATGGGCCCCATCTTTGCTGCTTCAGTGGTGAGGGTGAGGCCGGGGTCAGGATGCCTGCGACAGCCGGACTGGCAGGGAGATGGGGGAGGCTGGCGGGGGACTGAGGCTGGGCCATGGCTGAACACACAGGGTGCAGCTCTGCAGGGTGGAGAAGTCCACGGCCAAGAGACCGAAGAGCGTGAACAGCAGCATGGCCACGACCCACTCGCAGGCCGCAGAGACGCCACGCAGTGAGTAGGCGTGGAGGACGAACACTGCCCCAGGGTCAAGGGCCACGTTGCTGCTGTGACGGACGCAGAGCCTGGCCTGTTCTCTGTGCCACCTCAAGCTGGGCTGAGGCCGTCTCTGGGTGTCCCGCCCTCAGCTTCCACCTTCCTCCATGCCTCCTCACCAATGGTGTCTAGCCTTGGTCCCTGGTGCTCTCCAGCCCCGTCTCCATCTCAGGGTGCCTGACACGCTTTCCTTACTAGTGCATTCCCGATATCCCAAAACGTTTTCATCCCCCTTCCCTGACCCAGGAAAGCCCTGCTTGCTTGCCTCCCTCCATGTCCAGGAGACCCAGCTACCATCGCTCCTGCCTACAAACACTCAGGGTTTCCTAAACACGCCTCCCTCCTGCCGCCAGCCCCGGACTGTGTTTTCGCCTTTCTCCAGAGCATCCTCCCGACTGCCCAGGGCCCACAGGCCGCTGCTGCTCACTCCCAGTCTGACCTCTTCCGTCTAAAATCTGTTTCCCCGTCTGTGCATCCCCTCCTCCGTGACAGCCCCATCCACTCATGTACCCCGGCAGACTCTCCCCCCAGCCCTACCGGTCACCCCAAATCTTGTCCCATCTGCCTTCCCTGCCTCTCTCCAGACCTCTCCTCACATCTTGCGCCTTTCTCTCCTGGTCTGCCCGGTCCCTTCTCTGCTTCTCTCGCCTCCCACCAGCTCCTTAAGAGCTTTTTCTGCTCCACCAGCCCATGCAGACTCCAGGCTCCTGCCTAGTAGACACCTCTTGTTTTCTGGAACCTTTCTCAGCAGAGCTGTTCACCTCCTCACCCCTCCTGGACCATTTATTCCATTCATTCACGGATTTCTGGCTGGGTGCAGTGGCTCACACCTGTAATCCCAGCACTTTGGGAGGTCGAGGTGGGTGGATCACCTGAGGTCAGGAGTTTGAGACCAGCCTGGCGAATATCGTGAAACCCCGTCTCTACTAAAATGACAAAAATTAGCCAGGCATGGTAGCACATGCCTGTAATTCTAGCACTCGGGAGGCAGAGATAGAAGAATTGCTTGAACCCGGGAAGCAGAGGTTGCAGCAAGTTGAGATTGTACCGCTGCACTCCAGGTTGGGCACCAGAGTGAGACTTCATCTCAAAAAAAAAAAAGGATTTCTAAAGGGGCTGAAAAGTGGCTCACGCCTACACTCCCAGCATGTGGGGTGGCTGAGGTGGGAGAACTGTTTGAGGCTAGGAGTTCAAGACTAATCTGGGCAACAGAGTGAGACATGGTCTCTTAAAAAAAAAAAAAAATAGGCTTGGCACAGTGGCTCATGCCTGTAATTCCAGCACTTTGGGAGGCCGAGGTGGGCGGACCACGAGGTCAGGAGTTCAAGACCTGCCTGGCCAACATGGTGAAACCCAACTCTACTAAAAATACAAAAATTAGCTGGATGTGGTGGCGTGTGCCTGTAGTCCCCACTATTCGGGAGGCTGAGGCAGAAGAATCGCTCGAACCTGGAAGGTGGAGGTTGCAGTGAGCCTAGATTACATCACTGCACTCCAGCCTGGGCAATAGAGCAAGACTCTGTGTCAAAACAAAACAAAACCAAAAAAAAAAAAAAAAAAAAAGAAACCTTCATCTGTCATGGTAAAAATGTTTTTTTTCTTTTTTCTTTTTTTTTTAAGATGGGATTTCACCATGTTGGTCAGGCTGGTCTTGAACTCTCGACCTCAGGTGATCCATCCGCCTTGGCCTCCAAAGTGCTTCGATTACAGGCTTGAGCCACCACACCTGGCCAGTAAAAAATGTTTTAAAAATAAAAATAAATCAGTGGCTCACGCCTGTAATTCCGGCACTTTGGGAGGCCGAGGTGGGCAGATCACCTGAGGTCAGGAGTTTGAGACCAGCCTGACCAACATGGAGAAACCCCCACCTTTACTAGAAATATGAAAAATTAGCCGAGCAGCCAGGCGCGGTGGCTCAAGCCTGTAATCCCAGCACTTTGGGAGGCCGAGGCGGGTGGATCACGAGGTCAGCAGATCGGGACCATCCTGGTCAACATGGTGAAACCCCGTCTCTACTAAAAATACAAAAAATGAGCTGGGCACGGTGGTGCGTGCCTGTAATCCCAGCTACTCGGGAGGCTGAGGCAGGAGAATTGCCTGAACCCAGGAGGCGGAGGTTGCGGTGAGCCGAGATCGCGCCATTGCACTCCAGCCTGGGTAACAAGAGGGAAACTCCGTCTCAAAAAAAAGAAAAAAAAAGAAAAATTAGCCGAGCATGGTGGCACATGCCTGTGATCTCATCTACTTGGGAGGCTGAGGCAGGAGAATGGCTTGAACCTGGGAGGCAGAGGTTGCAGTGAGCTGAGATCAAGCCCTTGTACTCCAGACTGGGCAACAAGAGTGAAAGTCTGTCTCAAAAAAAAAAAAAAAAAAATCACCCTGGCATGATGGTGCATGCCTGTAGTCCCAGTTACTCAGGAGACTGAGATGAGAGGATTACTTGGGCCCTGGAATTCCAGGCTGCAGTGAGCTATGATTGTGCCACTGCAGTCCAGCCTGGGTGACGGAGTGACACTGTCACTTATGAAAAAAAAAACCCACAAGGGTTTCTAAGCTTTGTCTGTGCCAGGCAGGGTGTGAACCGTGAATGAGGCAGACACCATGCCTGGCCCTGTGGGTCTCACAGCAGCAGAGACGTGTGAGCCTCTAAACAAATCGCTTACCCGGGTCTGACCCTGTTCCTCCCCTGCTCACAAGCTTTCTTGTTTTTTTAAGATTGAGTCTCACTCTGTCACCCATCCTGGAGTGCAATGGCGTGATGTTGGCTCACTGCAACTTCTGCCTCCCAGGTTCAAGCAATTCTCGTGCCTCAACCTCCCGAGCAGCTAGGACTACAGGCATGTGCCACCATGCCCAGCTAATTTTTGTATTTTTAGTAGAGACGGGGTTTCACCCTGTTGGCCGGGCTGGTCTCAAACTCCTGACCTCAGGTTATCTGCCCCCCTCGGCCTCCCAAAGTGCGGGGATTATAGGTGTGAGCCATGGTGCCTGACCATAAGCTTCCTATGGCTCTCTATCACCACCTGGCAGACGCCCAAGCCTCTAATCCCTTATTTTACAGCTCTCAGCCCTGGCCCTGCCAGCAGCCTCATCCTCCCCTAGGCCTGGTCTTTCTGGTCCGTGCATGTACCTGCAGTGTGCCCTCAACCTCCCAGCCCACAAGGCTCAGGCCAAGCTCAGAATCCAGGCTCAGAATCCAGCCAGTCTCAGGCCCATCTTTGCAGACTTCAGCCCTTACCACAGCTGCTTTTATGGTTCCCTCCCCTACCTACTCTACCCAACAGACAATGGAGTCCCACTGAAGGAAGGGCCCTGCAGCCAAACTGATCGTCAGAGCTAGTTTACAAGATCAGGGTCTGGATCTTATCAGCATCACGTCTCCTGCAAAGGAGACCTGATGGTCTCATACCCCAGGTCACTAAAGGCCAGCCTGAAGGGCCAGCCCTCTCACCTATTTTGTGACGATACACTTTGTCACTCCAAGAAATATGTCACTATCTCCATTTTGCTGAGAAAATTCCCAATAAATGGATGCACTTAATACAACCAACAAAGGGCCTTAGCTGGTTTCTCTCCATTCTCTTCTGCATGCTCTGGGCCTCCACACAAATGAGAAAGCCCTCCCCAACAAGGCTGGGTTTGCGGCCCCTCCTCTACACTCTACCTAGGAGAATTAATCCCTGTGGGCCCGGCGCAGTGGCACACACCTGTAATCCCAGCACTTTGGGAGGCTGAGGCGGGTGGATCACGAGGTCAAGAGATCGAGACCATCCTGGTCGACATGGTGAAACCCCGTCTCTACTAAAAATACAAAAAATTAGCCGGGCATGGTGGCGCGTGCCTGTAATCCCAGCTACTCAGGAGGCTGAGGCAGGAGAATTGCCTGAACCCAGGAGGCGGAGGTTGCGGTGAGCGGAGATCCCGCCATTGCACTCCAGCCTGGTTGACAAGAGTGAAACTCCGTCTAGAAAAAAAAAAAAGAGATGGAAACCAGCCTGGCCAACATGGTGAAATATAAAAATTAGCCAGGTGTGGTGGTGTGTGCCTGTAATGCCAGCTACTCGGGAGGCTGAGGCAAAGAATCGCTTGAAACCAGGAGGTGGAGGTTGCAGTGAGCCAAGATCACATCACTGCACTCCAGCCTGGATGACAGAGTAAGAATCCATCTCAAAAATCATCATCGTCATCATTGTTATGATAAAAGCAAATCCATGTCGTGGCTATGGAAACTGAGGCCTCAGAGAAGGACTTGACCCACCTGGAAGTATGCTCCTGGGTTCTAGGGATGGCTAAGAAGCAAGTTGGAATGGTAGGGCGCGGTGGCTCACACCTGTAATCCTAGCACTTTGGGAGGCTAAGCTGGGTGGATCACCTGAGGTCAGGAGTTCAAGACCAGCCTGGCCATCATGGTGAAATCCCGTCTTTTTTTTTTTTTCTTTCTTTCTTTTAAAAAAAAAAAAGAGAGAGAGAAAGACAGAGAAAAAAAGAAGTGAGTTGGAATTGAGTCAACCTTTTTTTTTTATTTTTTTGACAGAGTCTCACTCCGTCACCAGGCACTAGGCTGGAGTGCAATGGCGCGATCTCGGCTCACCGCAACCTCCGCCTCCTGGGTTCAGGCAATTCTCCTGCCTCAGCCTCCCGAGTAGCTGGGACTACAGTCATGCACTACCATGCCCAGCTAATTTTTGTATTTTTAGTAGAGACGGGGTTTCACCATGTTGACCAGGATGGTCTCGATCTCTTGACCTCGTGATCCACCCGCCTCGGCCTCCCAAAGTGCTGGGATTATAGGCGTGAGCCACCGCGCCCGGCTGAGTCAACCATTATATGGTGTGCTAGTAAATGTTTAACAAGTGGCTCTGGTTGGTGGCATTCGCCAATTATAGCAGTATAAATACTTCCATGATGGTGACTTCAAGCTGCTAGCATGCTATCACAGGAGCTGGAGTCAGCAGGAATGCACACAGTACCCTTCAGAGCCCGCACAAGCCACCTGCAGCCCACCAGAACTTCCTATGCGCCTCAGCCAACAGACCTTTCCTGCCCGTACCTGTTTTCACTTGTAAACACCCACCATGATTCCTGGCACAGAGTGGGTGCCCTGAAGGGACTGTTACTGGCATGTCATTCTTCCAGTGTTTACTGGTCACTCCCTGTATCCCAGGGGCAGATCTAAGCACCTTAGGCACATTATCTTGTCTACTCCACAACCCTGGGGTCAGCCCTGTCATCTGCATTTGAGAAACGAGGAAGCTATTGACTCCAAGAAGCGACAACCAGGGGAAGCTTCCCTCGGCTAGGATGTGGAGGACAGGGGATTCCAACCCAGGTACCGTGACATCAAAGTTGGCACCCTCGATGACAGAGCCATAATCCCGTGCAAAGAAGCCACAACCAGGGGAAGCTTCCCTCGGCTGGGATGTGGAGGACAGGGGATTCCAACCCAGGTGCCGTGACCTCAAAGTCGGCACCCTCGACCACAGAGCCATAATCCCGTGCAAAGACAGAAGCTCAGAGAAAGGAAGAGACGTCCCCAGTGACACACAGCCAGGCAGGAAGACCAACTCCAAGGAAGAGCCACCCCCAACCCTTTCCCGGGACACAAGAAGGATACTGGCTACAATGAGGATGGTGCAGAAGCTGCAGAGACCCAGGCGGAGTGGCCCAATCCAGGCAGCCCCAGGCTGGGGCAGGCTCTTCAGCCTCCACAGGAGGAGCTGCAGCCAGAAGTAGACATTACCCAAGACGAAGGCAAGGAAGGCCCCTGCCAAGTGCGTAGGTCTCTGATTCCTTTCCTGGGAGGAGAGGGGAGGAGTTGAGAGGGAGACTCTGGAAGGAAGGAAAGGGGCCCCAAAGGGGTCCGGGCCCTTCACCAACGCAGTACACAGTGATGGCGAACTTTCCATACCCAGCAATGGGCTCATTAAGTACGTGGGCTACGGTCAGCTTCAGAAGGGCAGGCATTTAAATGCTGTAGCCTCAATTCCTAGAACAGTACCTGCTGAGTAAATATGAGGGGGATAAATCTTGCATTCTCAAGGGAGGGGACAGATATTGCCCTCAAAATTGGTCTTGCAGGCGAAAAATTCTTTTTTTTTTTTTTGAGACGGAGTTTCACTCTTGTTACCCAGGCTGGAGTGCAATGGCGCGATCTCGGCTCACCGCAACCTCCGCCTCCTGGGTTCAGGCAATTCTCCTGCCTCGGCCTCCGGAGTAGCTGGGATTACAGGCACATGCCACCGTGCCCAGCTAATTTTTGTATTTTTAGTAAAGACAGGGTTTCACCATGTTGACCAGGATGGTCTCGATCTCTTGACCTCATGATCCACCCGCCTCGGCCTCCCAAAGTGCTGGGATTACAGGCATGAGCCACTGAGCCCGGTGAAAAATTCTTAAATATTACAATTGCATGTGACTCACAGATATATAGCACATATTCTATTAAAATTTTTAAATATTTAAAATTTCAGCCTGGCAGGGTGGCTCACATCTGTAATCCCTGCTCCTCAGAAGGTGAAGCAGGCAAATCACTGTGAGCTCAGGAGTTCGAAACTCACCTGGGCAACGTGGCAAAACCTTGTTTCTACAAAAACTACAAATATTAGCCAGGCAGGTGGCCTGTAGTGCCAGCTACTCAGGAGGCTGAGGCTGGACGATCACTTGAGCCCAGGAAGTGGAGGTTGTAGTGAGCTGAGATGGCACCCTGTCTCAAAGATAAATAAAAAATAATATAAATAAAATACTTAAAAATTTATGGGAAGAAAGGACCACCAGGGTGAAATGTCTAAAAAGACTCCTTAGAGGAGCAAAATAATAGGTTGAGGGCTGGGCGCAGTGGCTCACACCTAGTGAGGCCAAGGTGGGCAGATCACTTGAGGTCAGGAGTCTGAGACCAGCCTGGCCAACATGGTGAAACCTTGTCTCTACTAAAAATACAAAAATAAGCCAGGTGTGGTGGTGGGTACCTGTAATCCCAGCTACCTGGGAGGCTGAGGTAGAAGAATCACTTGAACCCAGGAGACGGAGGTTGCAGTGAGCTAAGATCTTACCACTACACTCCAGCCTGGGCCACAGAGCAAGATTCTATCTCAAAAAATAAAAAATAAATAGGTTAAGAAGCACTTTGGAAGGCTGAGGCAGGTGCATCATTTGAGATCAGGAGTTCAAGACCAGCCCAGCCAACAGTAAAACCCCGTCTCTACTGAAAATGAAAAAAAAAAATTAGCCGGGCATGGTGGCAGGCACCTGTACTCCCAGCTACTTGGTAGGCTGAGGCAGGAGAGTCACTTGGCCCCAGAGGCGGAGGGTGCATGACTGAGATCGTGCCCCTGCACTCCAGCCTGGGTGACAGAGCAAGACTCCATCTCCTTTTTTTTTGTTTTTGTTTTTTCTTAGGACTCCATGTCCAAATAAAATAAATAAATAAATAGGGCCGGGCGTGGTGGCTCACGCCTGTAATCCCAGCACTTTGGGAGGCCAAGGCAGGTGGATCACGAAGTCAAGAGATCGAGACCATCCCGGTCAACATGGTGAAACCCCGTCTCTACTAAAGATACAAAAAATTAGCTGGGCATGGTGGCACGTGCCTGTAATCCCAGCTACTCAGGAGGCTGAGGCAGGAGAATTGCCTGAACCCAGGAGGTGGAGGTTGCGGTGAGCCAAGATCACGCCATTACACTCCAGCCTGGGTAACAAGAGCGAAACTCCGTCTCAAAATAAATAAATAAATAAATAAATAAATAAGGTTCAGGGGCAATAAGGACTGACCTAGTTAAAGTCTTTATGGCGACAGAATGAAGTCATGAGCAAAATGGAAAACCTGCTGCCAAATAGCTCAGTAACTTTTTTTTTTTGAGACTGAGTCTTGCTGTTGTGCCCAGGCTGGAGTGCAGTGGCATGATATCCGCTCACTGCAACCTCCACCTCGTGGGTTCAAGCGATTCTCCTGCCTCAGCCTCCCAAGTAGCTGGGACTACAGGTACCTGCCACCACCCCCGGTTAACTTGTTGTATTTTTAGTAGAGATGGGGTTTCGGCAGGGCGCGGTGGCTCACGCCTATAATCCCAGCACTTTGGGAGGCCGAGGCGGGTGGATCACGAGGTCAAGAGATCGAGACCATCCTGGTCAACATGGTGAAACCCCGTCTCTACTAAAAATACAAAAATTAGCTGGGCATGGTGGTGCGTGCCTGTAATCCCAGCTACTCGGGAGGCTGAGGCAGGAGAATTGCTTGAACCCAGTGGGCAGAGGTTGCGGTGAGCCGAGATCGCGCCATTGCACTCCAGTCCGGGTAACAACAGCAAAACTCCGTCGCAAAAAAAAAAAAAAGAGAGAGAGAGAGAGATAGGGTTTCACCACGTTGGCCAGGCTGGACTCGAACTCCTAACCTCAGGTGATCCACCGGCCTCAGCCTCCCAAAGTGCCGGGATTACAAGTGTGACCCACAGAGCCCGGCCAGTAACTTCAGCATTAAATGAGCTGGGGAGAGGAGCTGTCAGAAAATTAACCCAACCTCCTCGAGGTCAACGAAGTCCTGTAGAAAACAGCCTCACCCAGAGCCCCTCATTCAGAGAGCAAAGGAATCCAGCCGGTCCGCGGCCAGTGGCCAAAGAAAAATACAAGTCCCGGAAGGCTACGGGGGAACCAGCCCTCGATACAATAAGCCTATGGCCGCAGGGCATTCTGGGAAGTGTAGTCCCAGGCGCCGGTCGGCGCGGACCCTGGGCACTGACTGGGTCATACCTGGAAATTGCCTACCACGGAGGTGCCCAGGGCACAGAGAAGACCCGTCCATAGGATTAGCTGGTTAGGCCACCTTCCGACGCCCCAGTCCCGGAGCTGGTGGTAACGGACAATGCAGATCCACGCGGCTGGGAGGAGAAGGGAGAGAGAAATAGGAGGGAACCCGCCCCAGACTCCGGGAACCCAGTGAGGGAGGCGAGGGGGCAAGGTGAGGGGGAAGGCGGCGGAATCCTGGATTTTGGGGAAGGAGGGGTCTGGGGCATGGACCCCTGGGTTTGAGAAAACGAGGAGTCTTGGAGCTTGGCTAGGCTGGGGAGCGCCGAACCAAAAAGACCCGTGCAATATAATATTTACCCAGAGCGGCTCCCACATTGAGCACCTGGCTGAAGATGCAGCTCTGAGGGGGGAAGGATCCGCAGAAGCTGAGGAGCACAAGGGGGTCATCCTGGGTGCTCCAGGCCAGCGCCCCCCACCGCCACCCTCGGGCATAACTACCTGATGTAGGGAAAGCCCTTGCTGAGGTCCACAGTCCTGTTGGCCACTGCAATGGCAAAACTGTGGGGAGATCAGAGTGAGTGGGCAACTTTCACCAACTTTCCCTCTGTTGACCAAACAAACACGGACTTCTAGCCCCTCCACCCTATACCAGGACTCCAGGTCCCCAGTCCCCTCCTCCTTCAGACCCACAAATTTAGGCCCCCAGCCTCTCTTCCCTCAGACCCAGGAGTCCAGACCCCCCAGCCCCTCCTCCCTCAGACCCAGGAGTCCAGACCCCCCAGCCCCTCCTCCCTCAGACCCAGGAGTCCAGGCCCCCAGCCCCTTCTCCCTCAGACCCAGGAGTCCAGGCCCCAGCCCCTCCTCCCTCAGACCCAGGAGTCCAGGCCCCCAGCCCCTCCTCCCTCAGCCCCTGGAGTGCAGACCCCAACCCCTCCTCCCTCAGACCCTCCTCCCTCAGACCCAGGAGTCCAGACCCCCCCAGCCCCTCCTCCCTCAGACCCAGGAGTCCAGACCCCCCAGCCCCTCCTCCCTCAGACCCCCGAGTCCAGACCCCCCAGCCCCTCCTCCCTCAGACCCAGGAGTCCAGACCCCCCAGCCCCTCCTCCCTCAGACCCAGGAGTCCAGACCCCCCAGCCCTCCTCCCTCAGACCCAGGAGTCCAGACCCCCCAGCCCCTCCTCCCTCAGACCCAGGAGTCCAGACCCCCCAGCCCTCCGCCCTCAGACCCAGGAGTCCAGACCCCCCAGCCCCTCCTCCCTCAGACCCAGGAGTCCAGACCCCCCCAGCCCCTCCTCCCTCAGACCCAGGAGTCCAGACCCCCAGTCCCTCCTCCCTCAGGCCCAGAAATCCAGGCCCCAGCCCCCTCCACCCCGGAGTCCATGGTGCCTCTGACACTCACACAATCCAGACGCCGGAGATAGCCCACACAGCGAGGAAGGCAGGCATCAGGGACAAGCGGCCCCACATGCTGGACTCTGTAGGGGAAGGACAGGGGCTGAGGCTGGGCACGTCTCTCTCACACCTGAAGAACCAGCCCTCAGCAGAATCCAGGTGTATGAGATTGTGGCCCCGGCCGCTGGGCTCCCTTTGGCTCTCAGGCAGAAGTGATGAGGCTCTGATGTAATCTGCCAGCTCTCCACTCCAGGCCATAGCCCTATCTCCTGCAGCCTTCAATCCTGTCTCACAGATTCTCCTGCCTGGGGAATTTCTCCCTGTCCTCCCAGCCCCTCCCTGCACCTCCCAGCCTCCGGGGCCTCCCTGGGATGCTCACCTCTCCAAACTCCCTGGGGCTCTCAGTCCTGGGACTGCTGCTGGGTGAGCCTGGGGAAGAATGACTGGCATTTCAGGATAGGGCTCGGGCAGGCCGAGGCAGAGGCAAAGTCCAGGCTGGAGCGCTGCCTGGGACCTTGGGTCTACCCACCACTTCTGGAGGGCTCTTTACCCAAACCGCCACGTCCTGTCTCCTCAGAACCTAGCAGGCCGCACCTTAGCTTCAGGGGCCCCTAATTTCCTTCCTCCAGCTTTGTGGGTTCAACGTCCAAAGTCTCAGCCCTTCCCTCCCCAGGAACCAGAAATCAGAGCCTCCAGCTCTCTGTAGCCCGGAAGACCCAGAATTCCAGGGCCCCAGTTGCTCATAGAATGCAGATATATTCTTCTGTACCTCCTGGTGTCCAAACTCCCAGCTCTTACCTACTCGGGGACCCAAGAGTGAGGGCCTCAGGTCCGCCTGCTCTGGGTGCAGCTTCTGGTTTTGGGCTGAGATATGCAGCCCTGATGACCCCGCCTCCTCCCCTCCGCTCTCCTTCCTCTCACCCTTCCCCTTTCCCTGCTGGAGTTCCCCAGGCAGGCTGAGCCAGGGTGGGATGGGAGCTCTTGGTGATGACATCTCCATCCGAAAATCCCCCCAGCGAGACAAAGACTGCTTCTGCGTGACCCTTTCCTTCTCTCTCCCAGTAGGCGCCTTCAGCTTCTGACCTCTTCCCAGCCTGGTGCTTGAGTATACTGGGTCCCGGCCTCCTCCTTCTTCCTGGGACCCAGGAGTCCAGTCCCTCAGACCCAAGGTCAGACCTCTAGGTCCTCATCCCTTAGACTCGGGAGTCGCTCCTGCCTCTGACACTCTCGAGGTCCAGACCCCAAGTAGGGGCAGGGACAGGCAGCATCACGTGCTGGGCTCTGCAGGGGAACCAGAGGGGCTGAAGCTGGGCCCCTCCCTCTTTCCTCTCTCTCTGTCTCTCTCCTACCTTCACACCTGAAGAACCAGCCCTCAGAAGGGCCCAGACGCCTGAGATTGTGGCCCCGGCCTCCGGCCCCCCACTGGCTCGCAGGCAGAAGTCACTTGTGGGGGCTTATCTAATCGGCAGGCCAGTTGTCCTCCACTCGGGGCAATGTCCCACCCATCCTGCAGTGTTCAATCCTCCTGTTTCACAGATTCTCCAGCTTGGGGAGTTTCTCCTGCCCTCCCAGACCCTCCCTGCTCTCCCAGCCTCTGGGGCCTCCCCAGGATGCTCCCCTCTCCAAGCTCCCTGGGGCTCTCAGTCCTGGGACTGGGGCTGGGTGAGCTTGGGGAAAAAGGGCTGCCATTGATGGGGTGGGGCTCAGGCATCCTGCACAGGCTAAGTCCAGGCTGGAGGACTGCCTGGGTCCCTGGGTCTGACTGCCACTTCCTGAGGGCTCTCTACCCCCAAACTACCATGTCCTGTTTTCTGAGAACCTCGCGGGCAGCACTTCAGCTTTGGGGCCCCTAATTTCCTTCCTCCAGCTATGTGGATTCAACATCCAGACTCTCAACCCTATCCTCCACTGGAGTCAGCTCTGAGCCTCTCTCCACCCTTCGGGACCCAGGAGTCCAGGCTCCAATGTCTTCCTCCTTCCCCAAGACGCAGGAGTCCAGACCCCAGAACTCTTCCCTTAGACACAGGAGTCCCAGCCGCGTCCTCCCTCAGTATCCCACCTCTTCTCTTTTAATGGAGGTAAAATCCACATAACATGAGCCATTTCAAGGTGTATGACTCAGCAGGGTGCAGTGGCTCATGCCAGTAATACCAGCACTTTGGGAGGCCAAAGTGGGCAGATCACCAGAGGTCAGGAGTTCGAGACTAGCCTGGCCAACATGGTGAAACCCCATCTCTACTAAAAATATAAAAATTAGCCAGGCATGGTGGCGCATATCTGTAATCCCAGCACCTTGGGAGGCTGAGGTGGGCAGATCACCTGAGGTTGGGAGTTTGAGATCAACCAGACCAACATTGAGAAACCCCACCTCTACTAAAAGTACAGAATTAGCCCGGCCTGGTGGCACATGCGTGTAATCCCAGCTGCTTGGGGGGCTGAGACGAGAATTGCTTAAACCCAGGAAGCAGAGGTTGTGGTGAGCCGAGATCGCGCCATTGCACTGCAGCTTAGGCAGCAAGAGCAAAACTCCAGCTCAAAAAAAAAGAAAAGCCGGGCGCGGTGGCTCACGCCTGTAATCCCAGCACTTTGGGAGGCCAAGACGAGTGGATCACAAGGTCAAGAGATCGAGACCATCCTGGTCAACATGGTGAAACCCCGTCTCTACTAAAAATTAGCTGGGCATGGTGGCACGTGCCTGTAGTCCCAGCTACTCAGGAGGCTGAGGCAGGAGAATTGCCTGAACCCAGGAGGTGGAGGTTGCGGTGAGCCGAGATCGCGCCATTGCACTCCAGTCTGGGTAACAAGAGCGAAACTCTGTCTCAAAAAAAAAGAAAAGAAAAAAAATGCAAAAATTAGCTGGGCGTGGTGACGCATGCCTGTAATCCCAGCACTTTGGGAGGCCAAGACGAGTGGATCACAAGGTCAAGAGATCGAGACCATCCTGGTCAACATGGTGAAACCCTGTCTCTACTAAAAATACAAAAAATTAGCTGGGCACGGTGGTGGGTGCCTGTAATCCCAGCTACTCAGGAGGCTGAGGCAGGAGAATCACTTGAACCCAGGAGGCGGAGGTTGCAGTGAGCTGAGATTGCACTCCAGCCTGGGCTACAGAGTGAGAGTTCGTCTCAGAAAGAAAACAATAATAATAAATAAATAAATAGGCCAGGCATGGTGGCTCACGCTTGGGAGGCTGAGGAGGGCGGATCACCTGAGGTCGAGAGTTTGAAACTAGCCTGGCCCATACGGCGAAACCCCATTTCTACTAAGAATACAAAAATCAACCGGTCACAGTGGCAGGTGCCTGTAATCCCAGCTACTCAGGAGGCTGAAGCAGGAGAATCACTTGAACCCAGGAAGTGGAGGTGGCAGTGAGCCAAGATTGTAGCATTGCATTCCAGCCTAGACAACAAGAGCGAAACTTCATCTCAGAAAAAGAGAGAAAGAGAGAGAGAGAAAGGGAAGAGATTGAGTGGGAATGAGTTTGGTGAAAGATAGAGGAGCAGAAGTGGCTGGAAGAGCCATCAGACTGGGACGTGAATGGGTCTGACACTGGGGAAAGAGACGGGAAGGGTAGGAAGAGGCACAGACCACATGCAGTTTCGAGAACCCCAGTTAGGTCAGCTGGGAGATGTAGGGTAAGGATCACCCATACGCAAGCCCATGGAGACCGCAAGCAAGGAGCGGTAGCAAGGGATGGAAGGAGGGGAGGATGAGAAACGATTGCTTAATTGGAATTTCCTTATGGGTTATGAAACTGTTTTGGAACTAGATAGGGGCGATGATTGCACAACATTGTGAATGTGCTAAATGACACCGAATTGAACTTTCAAATGGTTACAGTGAATCTTTTTTTTTTTTTTTTTGAAAACGAGTCTGGCTCTTCCTGCTCAGGCTGGAGTGCAATGGCAGGATCTCAGCTGGTTGCAACCTCCACCTCCTGGATTCAAGCCATTCTCCTGCCTCAGCCTCCCAAGTAGCTGGGACTATAGGCATGTGCAACACACCCAGCTAATTTTTGCATTTTTAGTAGACACAGGGTTTCACCGTGTTGGCCAGTCTGGTCTTAAACCCCTGACCTCAGGTGATCTGTTCACCTCCACCTTCCAAAGTGCTGGGATTACAGGTGTGAGCCACCGTGCCCGGCCCTAGAGTGAATCTATGTGAATTTTACCTCAATTTAAAAATAGGGTTGGGAGTGATAGTTCACGTCTGTAATCCCAGCACTTTGGGAAGCCAAGGCGGGAAGATTGCTTAAGCCCAGGAGTTCAAGACCAGCTTTGGCAACACAGCAAGATTTTGTCTCTAAAAATGAAAAAATTAGGCTAGGCACAGTGGCTCATGAGGGAGAACTGTGGGGAACACTCCCTTGTGAGGCCCCTAGGAAATAGGCCTCGCCATACGGTGAGCTTGAGCCCAGACGCAGATACCCGGTTGGGGGAGTCCAGCTGAGGGAAAGCAGGAACTGAGAGAGGGACTATGCTATTCAAAATAATTAACAGACATTACTTTATGGATATGAGGACTTGGGAGGCATTGTGTCCACTTTCGGCTCCTTATGGTTTACTGCTTCATTGTATTCATTTTTGGATCCTTGCTACATTAGTTGTAAAATATTCACTTCAGTATTTACAATTGTTAAGTATTCACTGGGAGTAACTTACTTACTGGGTGTAACTTACTTACCTTGTGCTGTTCCTTTTACTAGTTCCCCAGCATTGTTTTCTGTTTCTTTTGTTATTTGAGAAATGCTTTGATCTGAAGTAAACAACATTAAGCAGAAAAGTATATAATGGAACCTACTGCACAAATAAAACTGCTGCTTGGGCATAGCTCACGCAGTCCTCCAGACCCCGCTCTTTCTTTCTCCTTTTTTCCTGCGCACGCTCTCTTCCAGGTTTGGGACCCTCTCGCTGGACGAGATTCCCGGGCTCACGTTCAGTTCACAACAGGCTCACACCTGTAATCCCAGCGCTTTGGGAGTCTGATGTGGACGGATCACTTGAGGTCAGGAGCTCGAGACCTGCCTGGCCAACACGGTGAAACCCTGCCTCTACTAAAAAAAAAAAAAAAATAGCTGGAGCCTGGCTCTGTGATCCAGGCTGGGGTGCAGTGGCTCCATCTTGGCTCACTGCAACCTCTGTCTCCCGGGTTCAAGCGATTCTCCTGCCTCAGCCTCCAGAGTAGCTAGAATTATAGGCACGTGCCACCACGACTAACTAATTTTTGTATCTTTTGTAGAGATGGGGTTTCACCATGTTGGTCAGGCTGGTCTTGAACTCCAGGCCTCTTGGCCTCCCAAAGTGCTAGGATTGCAGGTGTGAGTCACCGTGCCCGGCCTAAAATTCTTAAATATATATATTTTTTGAGACAGAGTTTGCTCTTGTCACCCAGACTGGAGTGCACTGGCACCCATCTCAGCTTATAGCAACCTCGCCTCATGGGTTCAAGAGATTCTCCTGCCTCAGCCTCCCAAGTAGCTGGGATTATAGGCATGTGCCACCACGTCCGGCTAATTCTGTATTTTTAGTAGAGATGGGGTTTCACTGTACTGGTCAGTCTGGTCTCGAACTCCTGACCTCAGGTGATCTGCCTGCCTTGACCTTCCAAAATGTTGGGATTACAGGCCTGAGCCTCCACGGCTGGCCCTTAATAATTGTTGAACAAGGGGCTCTGCACTGGCTGGCAGTGGGTGG